AATGTATGGTGATTAACATAACATAATAAAAATAAATAAATAAAAACAAATAAGGGTAAAAAAACTAATGATGTAATGTATGGTGACTAACATAACATAATGAAATAAAATTTTAAAAAAATATTAGCATTTTGGCCAGGACAACTGATCATTCCTATGCTGAAAAGTCCTGTACCTTCAAAGACGTTTAGGATCTTTGGCCCTCAGGCACTGAATACCAGGAGCAGCTTGACTGTCCCCACTCTGAAAATTAAAATGTTCTTCCATATTTACAAACTGTCTATAGACGTGCTACTCTCTAGACCCCAACTGTTAAGGAAAATATTGCATTTCAGAAACTTAGGGCTAAAAAGAATTTTAAAGAGTTCCACAAGTTTAGTTGTTTTTTTTGTTGTTTGCATTTTGTTTTTTTCTTAGAGAGAGAGAGAGAGAGCCAGCAAGCTGGAGAGGCAGAGGGAAAGAGAGAATCTTAAAGCAAGCTCAGCAGGGAGTGCAATGCAGGGCTCGATCTCACGACTCTGAGATCATGACCTGAGCCTGACCTAAAAGTCAGGAGCTTAACTCACTGAGCCACCAAGGTGACCCTACTAGTTTAGTTTTTGTAGTTAATTTGTACAGAAAAGAATAGTGATAAAGAAACCAAGAGAATGCTAAGCTTGGTTTTCCTACTTGTTGACTTTGAAGGAATTCTCAAAAAAAGCACCTACTATGTACTGGAAAATGCATTAGACATTTTCATCCCTACATGTAAATAAATGCATTGTGTGTGTTTGTACATATTTGAAAGTAAAAGAGAATTATTATTTTACTCATATTGTCCTTGAGGAAAATAATGTTTAAAGCACTTCATCTGCTGGGCAAGAATTCTATTTAGGCTTCTTTCCACCATAATACAGCTACACTGTGGATAACCAGTGAAGTCGTCCCATCGGCAATTGGAAATGGAATTTGGGGACGTGGTGAAAAGAGACCCAACTGTAGTTATAGCCATAAAATTAGAAAGAAAAGAATGGATATGTGGAAACCAGTTGTATTCAGTACATTTGAGGTGTGCCTTGTACATGAATATTGTGATAAATATTTGTAAATAAATGCTACAAGGAAGGAAACAGAACAGGATAGGGAAAAAGGGATGGAAGACAGCTGGAATGGTGGACATCAAATGGAGAGAGAGGGAGCAGTCTTGGCAGGTGCTGGAGAAGTGAGGAGACAGCTGGTCATCAATGCTGAAAGCTAGCCAGGCGTGACAGTGATTGAGGGTTGGAGAAAACATTTCAGAGTTTAAGAAAGTTTCTTGGAACAGAAGGCCAATAAATTGGAGACATCTCCAGGTTGTGACAGAGTTTTAAAAATTCAGCTTTAAAAGTTCCTTGGGAAAGCAATCATTTATTTAGAAAGAAAGAGAGAGAGAGAGAGAAGGAAAGAGAGGGAGAGAGAGAAAGAGAAGAAAGAAGGAAAGAAAGAGGGAGAGAGAGAAAGAGAAGAAAGAAGGAAAGAAAAGAAAGAAAGAAAGAAAGAAGAAAGAAAGAAAGAAAGAAAAGAAAGAAAGGAAAGAAAGATAGGAGAAAGAAAGACTTTAAAGTGGTTTGAACATAAAAACAAAGGACTAATAAGTCAACCCCGAAAGAAGTTGTCCACAAAGGCATGCAGTATTTGAAAACAAGCTTCTAGAGAATTTACCAGAGTGTGAAAGAGTTATGCAAACTGATCCATTTTGGCTCAGAGCTGTCTCAAGTGTGTGATAGGGCTGTGAGCATTTTCTCTGAGACAAATGTGAGTTAACTTTTAGACACCCCTCCTCCCGGGGACAGAAAGCTTTATCAGTCATGAGATTCCAGTAACATGGTAGGAAGACTCCTACACACTCATTGTTAAATGGGCTGTACCTTTCCCTTAATAGGAAAAGATCTTTTGTTTTACAAAGACCAAGGCAGCCCTCTGACAGGAAGGGCTCCTTAGTGGTGAGCTCAGTGACTGCTGATCTTTTGTTCTTCAGTCTCCTGAGCTAGAGCAAAGGATGTGGCTGGGGTAGGAGGTGGGGACTATGCATGTGTGTGTGTGTGTGTGTTCTCATTTCCGCTTCCCCTTTCTGAGCTGGCAACAGCAGTTTAATGAGGACAGAGAGAAAGGTACAACATACGATATGATACTTTGTCACTGTCCTCACTCAGATCCCCATACCTGGGAAGGGCTTGGCCCTGCTTTGCTAACCACTATGCCTCAAACTCTGCTCTCTACCTGCGGATAGGTGAGTATAATTTTCACCTTAATTTTAAGAACATACTGATTTGGGATGGTGCTGGGAGATAGGAGAAAACAGGCAGGAGAGAAATCAGGTTGCCAAGAAAAGGGAAAAATCAGGAGAAAATCTCCCACATGCCTCACTTCAATCCCTGACTGTGCCTCTTGGAACAAAAAGGACACTTTACTTTTTTTTTTCTTCTTCCTATTACAGGAGAGATACTCTATATAGGATCACAAAACATGGGTTCTTTTGATGGTCTGAATTACTATTTAGGAACGTTACACCTTTTTCATGTGGGAACTTCCTCTCTGTGTCTTGCTATGCTCCCTTGTGCTGTAACTTTGAAAGGTTCTCAAGAAGTTTCTCACTTCACTGCAGATCCCATTCTAGTGCTCGTAACTGTGAACTAGTGGGAACACCTCGCCTAAATCAGTGCTGTTTTGTGTGGGTGTAACTACTCTCCTCCAAAGCTGCAGAAGAAAGCTGGCCAGGAGATAAGCTACAGCAAGATATGTTGGGTGTAGATACAAGGAAGAAGTCACACAATTGGACAGTGCCAGGCCAATTTACCTGGAAGGCTCACGAGGGATAACCACCTGTGGGGATTGCTTCTCAGGCTGTACATCTCAGAGATGGCTATAGGGATACGGTGACCACTTAATGACTTACATCATCTCAGGTGGGGGAGGGTCTGTGCCCCTCCAATATCCCTTGTCTTAGTGGCAGCCAGGCTGAGCATGTCACCACCTACATGACTTTTGGGGAAGGTAGAGGAGTGGAAAGATCCTCCACATTGGGGTTTTCCCAGCCCCCTGCTGTGCTACTGAGCTTTCCAGTGGGTGGAGAAGAGGCGGGTGTCCGACACAGAACAGCGACAAGGTAAAAGAGCCCCCCAGAAATGGTTTGATAAGATCATGAAGATTTATAAGTACTAGTGACTCTATCACAAATGGCTGCCTGTCTGGGAAAGGGGACTTTTTAGACAGTATGTGGCAGGTGTTGAGGTTAGCAGGTTGGAGACTGGAGGCTTTCAGCTTGTGTGTCCAAGCTGCAGATTAACAGTTGTTAGGCTTGAGTGACTGGAGCTAAAAACCAGGCGTGATTCTCCTGTAACAGGAAGCATTACTAGGAGGAGTATAGGCCGGGTTTATTATCTATCTCTACTAGAATATTATCAGAGATAACAAGCAGAAGATATAACAAGAGGGATTGAAGGAGATCTAACAAAATAGTTCTTATTCACGGGAACCCTGGGGAGTTTAGAAACTCTTTACAGCCCTACTAATACTGTTTCTCATAACTTCCCCTGGCCCCTGAAAGGGGGACGGAGCCCTGGGATTAGGCATCACATAGTGGCCCTGGGAATCAACACACTCATTTTTAGTTCAGGGTTTCTAATAGAGAATGACTTGTATTCTAATGGAGTTTTGGAGAGGAAGTCTGGTCCCAGCTTAGATCATGACTCATGGGTCCACCCTGGGCTCCAGTAAGTGAAAAAGATCAGACACTTATGGCCACTTGATAACTCACAACTCTTCTGCTTTCCACCTAAAGGACAAAACCAAAGTGGGTATTCCAGTACCCACGGTACTTTTTACCCTGCCCACACCCAAGCCCAATGCAGAAAGGCCTAAACCCAGATTCTGATAAGAAAGGGTGTAGACCATTGTGAAAGAAAAAGAGGGGAGAATTAAAATGAGCACATGAGGGAAAGAGTTGCATTCCCATGCAAACAGGACTGAAGAATTGAAGACATGGATTCACAGAACGAAGAAATCCACTCACCCTCACTCCTGTCTCCAGACCAAGCCATCTGCAAACCAGGGCAGGTAAATGGATGTTTCTTCATCCTGCTGTCTTGTAGCCCATCCAGGTGAAAAAAATTTAGTGTCTCCCAACACTGAGAGCACAGGATTACCCTTTTCCAAATGTATAACTTTAATGTTTCCCATGGAATTTTGCGAGCCTTCCATAAAATTCATTCAACTGTGGAAGTGGGCATAGAGAAGAAAAGGATGGAGAGAGAAAGAGGTTTTAGATGGTCTTCTTTCAGTATTTATTCAGCTGAAATTATTTATGGGAGAAGGGGGGTAAGAGAGGAGGGTAAAATAGTTACATTCATTCATTGGAATTTTTCTTCATATCATTTATCAAATAACATCCCCCTTTTTCCCTGAAATAGATTGACCTGCTGCCTTAGACCATAGGAGGCTCAGAATGCTCAAATGCTATACTCAGGGGAATTTTTGTTCTGAAGGTCTTCTCAACTGCAATGATATAGAAGAGAACTAGAAATTAGGAATGTATTTCCTATCTGTGAAGGAATGTGAGAGCATATCACAGGTTGGGGATGTGTGCTGAACGGGGTGCAGTCAACTTGGCTTGAGGTGGAAGTTGTCCTATCTACAGAGAAATGGCTGTCCTGGGATTTCCCACAGCCCTTTGCAATGGCGCTGATACGTGCCTATCTTGGCTGTAAATGCGGATAAGATGCAGAAGGTCTTGTGGGCCCCATCGTGGAAACTTTGTTTCCTTCTTCTCTCCTCCCACGCTTGTTTTCACTCTCAGTCCCAGTTTACATGCCCTGCTTGGGTGTAGGCACAATACGGACAGAAGAGAAGAGAGATCTGTCTGATACGTGTTCCTGGGAGGAGGCCCAGAGTGGAAACCAGAGTGGCATGAGGAAGGCAGTGTGATGTAAAGAAAAAGCATAGACCTGGGGCTCAGATCTTGTGAGTTTCAGTCCCATTTACATCCTTAATAGTCTATGTGATTTCAGAAAAACCTCCCCCTCTCTCTTCCTCTCCCCTTCTCTCTCTTCCCACTTTCTTTCCACCCCTCCCCCTTTCTCTTTTTCAAAATGACTGACCAGGATTAGATGATCTCTCGGATCCCTCTTGGCATAACGTAAGAAGGAAAGAACTACTTACAGTTTATGTCTTATCTCTGCTCAACAGCAGCGTCCCTCTTTCCCCATCTGGATTTTACATCCACTACTGTATCCTGCTGCTCACTCCTTCTTCCTTCTTATTCCTGAAAGTGTTCTGACTTTAATGAATGGTTTAGACTGAGGGAAAACTAACAATAATAATTGCTATCATTTATTAAGCACTTCCTTTATATTTCAGGGACTTAATATCCATTATCTAATATTGGCCCCCGGTAGGCCAGCAAGTTGTGTTATTACCAGTTTTACATATGAAGAAACTTAGATTTAGAGGGGAAAGGTGATTGTACCAAGGCACATATTCATTAAGTAGATAGAACTGTGATTCCAAACAAGGCTAACTCTGATCCCAAGGCCCTTGCTCTTTCTACAGTTTTCCTTCTCAAGAGTTGGCCATCCTTACTGGACCCCTTAAAAATATCCCCATGAGACACCTGTAAGCAGAGCTGATATTTGGCAGGTACAGATTGGTAGACCCATAATGATTGTTAAAATATTTCCATACCAATTTATGATAAGTATCAATTGCCCCAAGCTCACTGAGTGCCCATGACCAACCCGACAATCCCAGCTCTTCCCACAAGGTTCCCCAGACATATACCTGTAGGACCCAGCTACAGGGCTGTGACTGGTGTCAACTCTGATTGGTCTGTGCTGCTCTATAACCATCCTTAAATGTTCTGAATGGCACAAAAATCTGGAAGCAATGTGGAATCCCAGGCAGACTTTTTCCTCTCAACTAAAACCTAGTTGGACCCTTGCTGCTGAACCGCTCTGTGAGCCTGACAAAGGCAAAATTGCTTCACATAATCTAGTTGGGAGTTAGGAAGGAAAACTATGCTAATAACCAAACAAAGCAACACTTCCTTCACTAAGATTATCATAAAGCCAAGAGTAAATTAATTTTGGTTTATGCTGCCTCTTCTATACAAGGCTATAAAGTGGAGAGTTCATGTAGCATGTGAAATGGAGAATTTACTGAAATAATTTCTCCTTTCTTTTATCCCAAATTATATGTGCCACTGATACTTGGGTGGAGATATTAGGTTATTTTCTTGTTCTATAATTAATGGAAAGACCATACAACTAGAGTCAGACCAACCTGAGTTTAATTCTCAACATTATAAGATCCTAATTATATGACCCTGGATAAGTCACGTATGTCCCTGAGCTTCACATAACAATAGTTAGCTCAAAGGTGATTGTCAGGATTCAGTGAAATAGTTTACAGGAAGGTTTTATGGATAAATATACAGTACTCTGTGCATCCCAGTTGTTTTAGCACCTATCACTTTGACTGGCCAGTGTTAATATATGGGGAATCTCTGACTACATCCCTTAGAACACAGACTGGAGGTATATGGTGTACTCAATGCAGTAATAATGACAGACCTATAAAGGTTTCCTCCTGCTACTACACTTGCCGCTTCTGCTGATGATTTGTGTTAGAAGATACTCCTTTCCAAGCTCGTAACTCCTGAATCTTCTTTTGACTAACTTCAATCCTGTCAGCTGAAATTTCTGCTTTGAACTATAACATCCTCGAAACAAAGAGAATTCCCTCCTGCTCTATTTGTTGTAGTCAGATTCCAGAACATTGGCCAGATTGTGGAGAAATATTTAGGGAGTGAACCTCTAGAGATATGTAGGAAAGAGGAAAGGACAAAGGACTGGAAATGAGAGCAGAAGGGAAAACAAGGCTTTTAAAGAGTGATTCAGGCAAATAGCAACAGAATCAGTGTGGAGTTTTTTGGGTTGGGGGGTGGGCAGTTAGTAGGAACATCAGAGAAAAAATACCAGCAGCCTGGGACTTCCTTCCTCACAGGAGTTAGATTAAATATAATATCAAGTACAATAGGTTAAATACAATAAACCAGCATCACGAAAGATAGTTCTCAGATTCCAGAAGGAACTTCTGACCAAGGAGTGGAAACTTCGAATGGAAAACTCTGAAAAAATATTTTTTAAATTTAGAGTATTTGATAGTTTAAGCTTTATAAAATTCAGTGTGACCCCTATGTTTCATCAACAAAAGATCAGCATGACTATGCCCCAAGCCTTTTTTCTCTTCACTACAAGGTATAAAAATACATATACGTTTGGATTTGAGACCCTGTGGAGAGTCGGGAGCCCCTGTCCACAACATGTACTAAATAAGGATAGTTTTTCAGCACCCGTATGATTCTCGCTCCTCTGCAGGTACAGCATCTGCTGAGCCCCTCCTGCTGCAGGTACCCTGCTGGGTCCCGAGATGGGGCTCGGGGGAGGGGTTACAAGGAAGGGGGCATGGTGACCAGACTGGTGACTGCTTCCCTCTTGCCGCATGTGGTGTGAGTGTATGTGCTAGTTGTTAGAGGTGGGGAAGAGAAGAGATGACTTGGATAGGCCTTCAAAGTGTAGAAAGAATTTGTCTGGATAGAGGGGGAGGTGGATGAAACTGCATAAACTAAAGGAAAAGTAGCGAAAATGTTCAAACAGTGCTGGAGCTCAGAGAGCAATGCCTAACAGAATCACACTCCTTTGGTCTCCTTCTGGGCCTCCCCCATTCAAGACTCACCACTTTCCTAGTCCATGGAAGTTGGAAGTGCAGGCACCTCATAAATCAGTGTCGCTGTGGAAGGGACTCTGCCAAATGGGAAGTAACACCGGAGGCCATGGGACCATTTCCTAATGCTTCTGGGGAAAACCATGCAAAAGCATTTTCTTTCCCAGGTATCATTCATACAGATATTTCAAACTCAACTAGAATAAATTCAGGTGCATTGGTACTGAAGGCAAATTTGTACAACATTGTCTGCTGCCAGTTCATTTTCAGGAGGATGAAACTGCTGCCCAAGGAGGAAACTTAACTGACTTGCCAGAGGTCAATGAATTAGACCAAAAGGTTAAAAGAATGCCCACATCTGGGGCACCTGGGTGGCTCAGTCAGTTAGGCGTTTGCCTTCAGCTCAGGTCATGATCCGGAGTCCCGGGATCAAGCCCAGTGTTGGGCTCCCTGCTTGGCAGGGAATCTGCTTTTCCCTGTGACACTTCCCCCTCTTGTGCTCTCTCTCTCTCAAACAAATACATTTTTTTAAAAATCTTAAAAAAAAAATGAATGCTCACATCTACTCTGATTCCTAGTCACTACTCTTTTTGCTGCTCCCAACTCTGTTGTACGTATAGGTTTACATGTTTGTATGACTCGTCTGAAGGAACTATGTCCAGGACCCCCTCTCTATTACAAGGAGCCCCAAGACCTTCAAAGGTGCCATCTGCATGCACCCAACCTGCATGCACCCATCCTGCAATTCTTTCTAATGCTGTCACCACTGATGGGCTTGCCTGATATCATTTGCCGCTTCCTCCAGATTCCCACAAATACCCAGTTTCTTATCTCTCAGCAACATAGCTTCCTCCTGCGATCTCTAACCAGACAGTTCTATTCCTCCCTCCCCCATAACATCACTGTGCTCCTCTTGTTCCCATATAACACCATGAACAGGTCTCTGTGGCAGAGATCAGGGGGAAATGAACTTGTTCAATTCCCTGGGCCCATGTCCAGTCTGCCAGAGTTGAGATTAGCTTAGATGTGCCTTGCATCTTTTCTTTGACTTCATGAAGAAGGTTTGCTAAGAGCTGGGCTTTGAAAAGTGCAGTGTGTCAAAGGCCGAGGGACAGGAAGATGGAGAGGGAAAAGAACATGAGAAAAGCATAAGGTTTAAAAGGGGATAAGCATTTTCAGGGGGCAAAGGGGAAATTAGCCTATATGTGTGCAACGTATTTTCAAAGATGTAGGACGAATGTAGAATAGATTCGCATCACAGAGGATGTCAAAACCCAAGTAGAGGTCTCTATCTACCATCTCAATTAGCAAGATTCTGGAACAGCACTAGGCATTATGGGGGTTCAGCTATAAAATGGTACATCCGGGAGTTAAAATACCAGAAGTACCAAATTTTAGGGCATAATGTCCCAGTTGAGAAACTGAGACCAGAGAAAGGAATCAAATTTTCCAAGGTTATACCGCTAGCAAGTGGCAGAGTAAAGTGCAGGAGTCACGTCTTCCTTCTTTCCTCCTTTCTTTCTTCCTTCCTTCCCGCCCTCCTTCCTTTCTTCCTTCATTGCCCCCTTCCTTCTTCCCCCTTCCCTTCTTCCTTCCCTCCTTTCTTCCTGCCCTCCTGCCTTCGTTTTAAATTCCCTTCATTACCAAAAAAGTCCTTCTTTGTGAGCTGAAGAGTTCTTATGATCTAGATGAGGTCCATTTACTCTGGGAATTAAAGACAGTAGGCAAGTCAGCCTTTGACGTTTTCTTCTCTGGACCAACTGACACCAACCTACTCAATATTTTGAAGGTGTAGAACTAGGTAAATATACCCTGACCAAGGCTTTTTAGATTTCCTAAGTTCTTTCTAGTGGCAGTTTCATCCTCTTTTATCACCTCGCAAGAGCTCTGACTGAAGGGCAAGTTTTCTCTGCGTCCCCCCTTTGGGGTTTCCCTGCATCACAAGCTGAATTTATTCATTTAATTGCTCTTAAAAGGCCCAGGCAGTGGACAAAGAGCCAGGTGCTTAGGGTTAACAACCTCTCTCCTTGGAGAAGACTGGGCGGTGGGCTGGACCTGAAGTGAAAGAATTTAGATCTGACAACAGTAACTAGATATCATTCTTCTCCGGATATGTTTTGTCTGTAGCAAGCAGAGGCATCCAAAACAATTTTATTGCCCTAGGAAGGCACTTTAGGTTCAGGAAGGTCCTTTCAAAAACAGCTATTTTAGGGCCTCCATGGTTCCATGCCTCCCTAATGATTTTATGTTGAAGTCTTTTAAAGAATAGAAGTTTCTGGACACTGGCACTCTTCTTATTTTTTTTCCTCTTGCTTTCCCTTACTGCAACAATTAACAGCACCGCTATGAGGATGGAGCTGTTGACCGCAGCTCCGGGGAGCAGAGGGATGAACCAGTGAAGAGCACTGGTCAGGCTCCTCTGTGTCCACTGTAGCAGGCTAAGTGTGGCAGGCGAGGGAGAGGCAGGAGGACGGAGCATCAGCCGATGAATGTACATTAGCCTCAAGGCTTTTTAAGTCCTGTTCGGACAACTGAGAGATTCTTCCCCTCTTTCTTCCTCTTTGAGTAAGTGGCTAGTGCCATCAGAACGTATCTTTTGGAAGAACACAGAGACGTTGAGCAGACAGTGTTAAATGAAATATACATGGCATCAATGAACTGAGGAGCTACCTCCTAGCTGTGGAGAAACCCACGTTGACAAAGTAAAAAGGAATGACCCTGAGGGTCGTGACTGCTCATTGAGTAAGGCAACATCTCCCTGTTGTTCGTATTATGGGATTATTTTTCCCAAGAGAAATCTTATGTGGACCCCTAATATACAAAACAAGAAACAAAACAAAACAAACAACAGACTCAGAATGACAGTAGTTGGAGTGACATCCTGGCTGTGGCACCTTGGAGAAGTTGTCTAACATTTGAGATCTGGGAATTCTTCATATATCTTTATGAAGACCAAATACAGTGAATTTTATCAATTGCTGATTTAAAGATATTCTAATTTTAGTGGGAGAGTCTGAGAGACAACATTCTTAAGGATTAAAGAAAGCTGTTTTCTAAGGCAATATGCCAGTCATTGTGAGAAGTAGCAATTCTTTAAGTTAGAAGAACTTTCTCAATGTCCCTTAAGTCATAAGATGTTTGAAGTTCCAAGATTCGCTGATTTGAAACACTTGCCCTGGTATATGTCAGAGTATTGGGGGGGAGGGGTGCAGTGGTGGGGGGAGACAGAGGAAGGGCTGGACAACTCCTCCCCCTTCCTGAATGGGCAGAGGGGTCATGCTCCTTCATTCAGAGCTGGGAAGATGTTGGGGCAGCCCTGGGGTGGTTTCTGAACAGAGGACGAGGGAGTTATCGCTGTATTTCAGCTCTCAGAGCAGCATTCCTGTGGCGGGAGACCCTGAAGTCTGAACCGGGGCCATGGAGGGCTCTGTGCTGAGCCCCACATCCTGGGAGATGCGGCGGGCCTGGCTCCGGCAGAGCCGCCACTGGCAGACCCAGGTCCTGGAGGAGGAGGCCGCGGCTGCCCTGCAAGATGTCTCAGATCCTGAGCCTGCCAGCTTGGATGATGTTTTCCAGGAAGGTAAGAGGCAGTTAGACAGCAGACAGCCTTGCACGTGGCCTCATGCCGGGGGAAAGGTACCAGCAGCCACAGGTCTGCAGAGTGTCTGCAGCGGGTCCCTTGTTGAGGCTGGGCCTTCAGGGAGGCTCATTTTGATGGATTCAATGCGTTTAAAGGAAGAAGAGTAAAGTAATAAAAAAATATAAATTATGGGAGAGAGAGAGATAGGCATAAGATTAGGAAAAATAAAGCACATTTTTGCATCATCCCAAGAAACTGTCTATAAGGGCCTGAGGTCAGGGTTCTCTTGAATGCTTTGGGGTGTTTTTATTTTGTCTGGGCAACAAAGTGATGCTCAGTTTGGATACCTGGACTCTGGCTGCAACTCTGCTGCTAGCAAGTGGTGTGACCTTTGGTAAGTCACTTAGCCTATATTTGTCTAATGGAAGTGGTGGTACCTGAAGTCGTAGTAGTACTTTTCCTCCATGCCTCTCAGAGTTTCTTTGAGGTTCGAATGAGACTGCAAACGTAAAAGCTAAAGAAAACAAAAACAAAAAAACCCTCATATAAATAAACCCATCTTTCCTTATGTGGCAAAAAACAAAAGCACGAACCCAAGATTGTGATTTTTTGTTGGTTTTTTTCTCCTTTTTATTTATTTTTTATTTTATTTTAAGGAGAAAGATCCACCCCTGTTCCCAAACCTTGGGGAGAAGGGAGCAGTGGGCTTGTGATCCTGGGCATTTTCCAGGTTCTGGGAGGAAGGGGGCGGGAGGCAGAGAGAGAAGCAGCAGCCACCATTTTTGTACATGGGTGTATTCCTCTCCTATCTTAAAGAAAAGTTTTATGGGGGGGAAAGTCTTAGGAAGTGGCTCACACAAGGATACACTTGAGGAAGGAGGTGGGTTGCAAAGAGGAAGTCTGACCTCCTTCAGCTCTCACGGTGCTCCGACCTCTGACATTTCCAGGGAATCCAGTCAACAAGATTGAAGACTGGCTGCAGGATTGCGGGTAAGTGCTGGAAGGCCCTGGCAATGACTGTGGCAGATGTGTGGATACGCTTGCAGGCACTGACTCTTGGGAACTCAGAGGCAGGGAAACGGGTTTGATTTGGGCCTAACGATTAGAAGTGAGGTTGAAATGGTGGGGGGTAGTGGGGGGCAGATTATAAAGGTTTGGGGTGAGTGTTACCTGTAACTGGGCCTGGGCTGTAAATGAAGTTTACTCTGGGCTGAGATGAAATTCGGGTGGGGGTCTGGAAATCCAGTCTGGATGCGGTCAAAAGCCCAGAATGATGGAAACGCGCAGCTCCAGAGACTGTCTGGGCTGAGTTGCAGATCCCTATTCTTTCGCTTCTCCTTCAGACTGGAGTCTTACACTGTGTAACAAAAGAGGAGTTAGAAACCTCATTGTTCTTATGATCATAGGAATTCATCACTGTGTTTATTTCTACTACAGAACACAGGATGATGGGCTAAGGGTTTACCCAATTATTCAAAGCAGTGAAGAACGGGAGCAGGTACTTGAAGGCAAAATGCAGTATCTCCCTCCTCAGAAACGCTAAAATAGGAGTTTTACTATTTACCCACACCCCATCAGTACCATTTTAGGCTCAGTCTACCCAGACACAGAGGGAAAGCTTCTGTGCCCTATTTAAGCCTGATCATTTGTGTGATAATTCTGAGAATTTATAACTCCTGCCTGCTCCTTTTTTCCCCTCCAGGAATGTTCCAAACTTTATATAGCCTTTAATCTGAACTCATCCATTAACGCATAAATAAACCCATCCTTGCTTACTTGGTAGGAAATAAATAGCACTGAATGATCCAGGGCTGTTTATTTCAACTCTGCCCCAGAAGGTAATGCCAGGAAGGATTTATTCTGTGTTTTTGTGGGTTTGCAAAACATACTGTCCTTATTGTCCTGACCTGGTTCACAATTCATTGACGTCACAGTCCGTGAAGGGTCCTCAAAGTTCAGGAAGGGAAGGGATGGTGGTAATAGGATTGTTTGCACATTTTGGTGTGTCACAACTGTCCTAGGATTTGGAATGCCTCACCTGGTATCTACAGGAGAACCAGTAAGCTCAGTTAATGTCTTTATGTCATTAACTACTCTTGAGTCAGTTTACATCACTAATTGTTGACAGCGCATTTGCTGATGTCTGATCGTCTAAATGGCTTAGAAGGGGGCCAAGGAGTTTAAAATATGTTCCTTGCCTTCAAACATACTACATTCTAGCTGAAAAGAATAAATTCACAGGATTATAAGATTGTAAACTCCAGAGATTACCTTTCCCCACCTATATTCCACAGAGATAAACCCAAAACTTGTGCTGAAAAAGTGGTCTGGTGAGTCAAAAGGCTCAAAGAGTTGAGCCTACACTTGTGCTAACTATCCACGTAAGCACTTGTCAGAAAAAAACCAAAACTCCTTCTATCTCAGACTCCTCGCCAAAAGGTGGAGACTTAGAATAATAATGTTTCAAAGTTTCTTGTGAGATTTAAATGAGATAACATATGCACAAGTGTTCTCTGCCCTGTAGTAAAACGTGAGCGGTGAGGTTTATAAAGGAGAGGCTTTGTGCTACTTTAAAATAATTCTGCCTATAGACTTAGCATCTATCTGTCTAAATCTCATTATTTCTCAGAAAATATGTCCAGAAGTGATACACACCAACTCTATGATAGTGATTATCTCTGGGAAGGAAAAAAGTAGGAAGGAATGGGAGTAAAATGAAACTTTAGTTATATTTTTAATATTATATTTATATTTTTATTAACAGAGATCAGAAATGAACATGATGAAACATTTACATGTGTGAAAACAGGGTGGCAAGTGCAAGGGTGTCTGTCACATTTTCTTTCCCTTTCTATGTGTTGAAAAAATGTTAATATTTACACTTTGAGAAGCCCACAGGAAAGTCTCTTAACACACATTTGTCTCTGCAGGGGGAATTTAGGTTCATAAAATATTTCCAATTTTCTCTATTTTCTAATCCTCCTTAATATATATGTGATACTTTTTAGTTATATGGGAAAATTAGAAAAATTAAAGGCTGATGATGGTTGATGGTAGCGAGAGAACACTAGATGATTGTGATAATAGACAATGAAGAAGAGGAGGGAAAGGCATTCCAGATATGCCATTCTGAGTCACACAGTGTTCAGTTCTTAGGCTGTCAAGGCCGCAGAGGAAGGAAGATGAACAGGGAACCTACATTCACTGGACATCTGTCCACTCTGTTGACAGGTGCCTGGGATGTGCTTTTCAAATTTTACTTCAAGACTGTATAGTTCCCATTTTCTTTCCAATGCCAAACAGACATCCTCCGATAGCAAGACAGTTTTGTTTTCTGACAAGCTCTCCAAGAAAGCCCACCAACTTCCTGGGTGATTGAGAGTCAGTGTCTCTCAGTGTATTGAATCTAGGGGCAGACCATTCTGCTGCAGGTCAAGATGATGTACATCTTTACTTGTCCTTTCCTTCCTCCTCTTAAGGCTCTCAGGGGAGGTTCTAGGACATGAATGTGTTGCTTGTGAATGATTGGAGGTAGGGTTAGGAGCCCCAAAATCTTCTGTGTGGACCTTAGTTTAAATCTCTGCAGGCAAAACCTATGGAAATTGCTGGAAAAGCTAAAAATAGTCACATCCTTCTCACAATCTGATCTTCCTTCCTACTTTTGTTTATGAATTGGGTATACAGGAGGAGTGGTACCTTGGCTCTTCTATTTCAGACTTGAAATGATGCTAAGGGATCTTTCAGTGGAAGACAGAGAGGGAGGAGCAACTATAGATCTAGTCCCTAGTCATCAATTTTATGTCCTAAGCAATAACCTATGAAAGGCCTGGGACTTGGGGCGATGGCTATGAAGTTTTAAATCAACTTCAGTTCGATCAGTAGATCCAGGCGCATGTCCATACTTCTATGGTAGATTCCACACACACCCTACTGTCCCAAGGCTCATCCTGGGCTGGTCCTCAAGTAGAGAATATGTACTTGCCTGCTAGGGCACAACTAGAGAAGAGAAATGTAGAAAGAACGCCCAACAAAATTTGTGTCTAGTGAATAGTACTGAGTTTTGTTTGGACAAACCAGAAATTTTATCAGAGGTATCTTTTTTTAATTTCAGAAGGAAGCTTTCTTTTATGTTTTTTAAAAATTTATTTATTTATTTGAGAGAGAGGGAAAGCATGGGCAGGGGGAGGGGCTGAGAGAGAGGGAGAATCTCAAGCAAATCCCTCGCTGAGCACGGAGCTGGAACTGGGGCTCGACCTCAGACCCTTAGATCGTGACCTGAGCCGAAATCAAGAGTCGGATGCTTAACTGCCTGAATCACCCATGTGCCCCTATCAGTGGTATTTTTTTAATGTAAATTTTATTGAAGTATAACATATGTATCAATAGCATTTTTCTTTTTAATGTAACTGTAGTACAACTCAACAGGTAAGAGTTTCAGCTATGCTGGGTGAGTCGGTTCTAGAGATCTGTACAACATGGTACCTGTGGTTAACAGTGCAGTATTGTGCACTTCAAAATTTGTTGAGGGTAGCTCTCATGTTAAATGTTCTTACCTCAGGAAAAACAAAAAGTCAAAGGGAAGCAAGGAGATTCTGGGAGATGTTGGATATGTCTGTTACCTTAACTGGTAATGATATCATGGGTGTTTGCATATGTCCAATCTCTTAACATGGTATACATTCAATATGTACACTTCTTTGTATGTCAGTTATACCTCAACAGAGCTGTTAAAATAATAGCCATGTAAGTTATACTGAAAAATAAAATACTTACTGAAAAATAAACAAGTATTAAATATAAAGCCCCATGAATTTTCTCAAAGAGAATACATACACCCCTGAAACTTGAAGCAGAACATTACCAGCACTCCAGAAGTCTCCTTCTGGAAGGTCTTCTTCCATTCATTACCCTGCTTCCAAGGATAACCAACAACCTGACTTATAACACCATAGAAAAATTTTGTACTTTTTAAACTTGCTATAAATAGAATCATACAATATGTGCTGTTGTATTTTTAATTTTAATTTTTTATTGAAGTATACTTGACTACAATATTTTATTAGTTTCAGATGTACAACATAGCGATTCAACAATTGTATACATTATGAAATGCTCACCATGATGGGTATAGTCACTATCTGTTACCACACCAAGTTTTTACAATATTATTGACTAAAGTACCGATGCTGTACTTTTCATCCCCATGACTTATGTATTTTATAACTGGGAGTTAGTACCTCTTTCAATATGTAGTGTTTTATGTCTGTTTCTCTTACTCAGCATTATGTTTGTGATGTTCGTCATGTTTTTGCATGCAGTGACAAGTCATTCTTTTTTTTATTGTTGTGATGCAGTAAATTATTTATCATATAATTTATCCATTTTACAACAGAGATTTGGTGTCTCCCAGTTCTGGGTTATTATAAATATTATTTCTTTTGGTGAATAAATACAGGCATTTCCATTGAGTGCAGACAGTGGAATACTAGTGTGTTTTAGTTGTAGTTACAATAACAGTCAGCTTTGGCCCTTGCATTAATGTGTAGCTGCAGCCAAGTATTAAATACAAGAGTAAATCTCAGTATTCTAATAGTTGACTATATAAGTTATGGTGTGATTTTGGAGTAACAGTAAATATAAATTTATACTGATATTTGTAATGGTATATAGACTAATATTTATGTTTGTGATATTATCTTAAAATACATTTTTATGTAATTATGCTAGGAAAAGCAGCCATATTATAGTTCTAGTTATATTATTAGTTACCCATTCTTAGTTAGCTTGGATATTGTTTCACATTTTATAATGTACCTTGATGCACAGGTTTTTTTCACAAAGACATAAAAATGCAGATTTTGGAAAACGGTTGATTTTTCACTACTGAAAGGAAAGCATCAATAGAAGATGTCTAGGGGCGCCTGGGTGGCTCAGATGGTTGAGCGTCTGCCTTCGGCTCAGGTCATGATCCCAGGGTCCTGGGATCGAGCCCTGCGTCGGGCTCCCTGCTCAGTGGGGAGCCTGCTTCTCCCCCTCCCTCTGCTTCTCCCCCTGCTCATGTTCTCTCTCTCTCTCTCTGTGTATCTCTGTGTCTCGAATGAATAAATAAAAAATCTTTAAAAAAAATAGAAGATGTCTACACATGCAGTGATTTGTCTTGTAAAACTTAAACACAGCTTGATCTACAGATGTTCAATTAGCAAACCCATTGCTATTATTAAACATTTCATTGAGTGATTACATACTGAGATTACATTCAAAGCATCATGTGCAACTTCCCTTTTAAAAACTTTCGGGAAAATTAACTCTATAAAACCCACAACACATTAGTCCTTAAAGTGGACTTAGATAATGATCATAGAGAGGCATCCAAGTCCCCTGTGTAATATTTGAGAACAGAACAGCAACCAAGAAGCAAGAATGCAAGCCAGGCGCTGTGGTTCCAGTTCAACACTTTTCATAGACTGCTTTACTCACCTGCTTTAGACACAGAATTTTTCCTTGTTTGTAAAACTAAGTTGTTTCTTGCCACCCTGTAGGCTGATTTCAGTCTATTCCTTTTGTGGAGATGGTAAAAGTTTGATAAGACCCTATCTTAAAATGTAAAATTACAATCTGTAACCAAGATGCCGTTTCTGCTGCTTCCTGAGAGATATGATCATCATCAAGGACCTGCTCAGAGATAAGGAAGAAGGTGTGGAGAGCTAAGTTGACCACCTAAAAGTTGAAAAATATCAATATTTGTATCTGTGATGGCCCCAAGCCCCTGCTTATATAAATGTATTTCTCTGATTTTGTTTCTATATTCTGTCTTTCCAACTTTACCAAGCACATGTAGACTTGTTGCTCGCCAAGCTATGGACAGTGTGGTCAGTACAATGGCAGCCCACTCTACAGTGCATACACACGTACGAAAAACACGGTACGGTGCAGCACAAAATCCCATGTGCTCCAGTCCCACTTCCCTTGGCTTCTTCGGTGAACTTGTCAAGTAACTACTCTTAGTTTGCTTCAACCTAAAAGCAATTAAATACTGCTGAATCTCATTGGAAAATTGTGTGAACTTGTGGGACACATTTGAGGAAAAAGCCCCTTGGAAAATATAATTATTTCCACCTGTAAGATTATTTTTGGTCCTCAGATACTCTGAAGAAGGGTTTTTTGAGGAAACAGGACAGTCAAGCTACAATGGTGAGTACAGCTCTGTTCTTTCTTCTGTTGTTCTTCTACCTGAATAGTGACATGGCTCTGTGTGTGTGTGTGTGTGTTTATGTACATGCACATGCATATGCAGGCATAAGAATGTTGACTACCTTTTCACTGTCTGCAAAACACCTATTGGTGGTCACATGGCAGTCCAGGAGGCGCAAAAGATGGAGTAAACATTGGCTCAGAGCTGACAGGCTAACACTCAAAGACTATCTTCTGTTAGTGGTTGCTCAGCTAACAACGACTGCTATGGGAAAAGAGCTTTATAAGATGTGTGTGAGTACACACCCCCATGTGCTCACTATCTGACAGAGGATTGTGTCCAAGACTAATGATATAGGGGAAAGGTTAATTACAAGTGATTGTTTATGTCTTTCTAAATCAAAATATGAATGTGATTTCTGAGGTAGTACATGTAGAGCTGGGGGAAGCTCTGTAAACATGATGTCTGACATGATTATGTGGTTATAAATGTTCATATATACAGGGGTGTGTGTGTGTGTGAGTGCAAGCCTATTCTCTGTGACCTTTGCTTTATTTGACAGGGTGCCTCAGCCATGGAACCAGCTTTGAAGATGACTTGACCCTAGGAGCAGAGGGTAAGTGGCACAGCCTTCTGATGTTGGAATCAAGGAAGAGGCTATACAGGAGATGAATTAAGGGTAGAATGAAAGGGGGAAACTGTAGAAAGATGCAACCCATTTCCTGAGGTCTTACCTGTAGGGAAAGCGCAGTCTCGTTATGATCTAATGTAAAGCTCATAAAGCTTCGTGTGCCCAAAAATACTTCCTCACCAGCCTGAAGTGACATCCACCAGTCCATCATTAGGGCTCTCATTTGTCCCCTGGAAAGACAACACATAAAATCACCATAACACTGGTTGCTCAGACATCTTTGAAACTGTTGTCTGTATAGGAAACCCAAAGCAGCCTGAACACTGGGTATAAGCAGGAGACCACACTGAAGGAAAGAAGAGCTTGAATAAAGGATGGAGATATAGAAACCTAACAATGTCTCCTGGGTCCTGTGGAGAATCAAGCAGTGGGGCAGGAACACTAGCCTGGAGGGCTGAATGATGTTCTCTTCCTCGGGACAGAGAAACTCTTGCCTCAACACCAGTCATGGTGTATAAGTTCAGAGGCTCAGGACCACTTGCTCCCTGCCATATCTGCCCCCTTCCCGGTCTATGTCTGATGAACTTTAGATACTCCCACAAAGAACAGAGTTCATGGGGCTCAGCTAGCCTGTAGTAGAGGCAGAGGGGAGTGAAGGGGGCTAAGTGTTACATTCAGAGAGGCAGCTTAGGTGATTTTCATTTTCCCTTCTAACTTTCTCTTTGCCTTTTTGTTCCTTGTCCAGCCACACTGTTGGCCACCAATGGCAAAGTCTTCTCCAGGTAAGTGTTAGGTTCACCCAGACTGAATGATGTCTTCTTCAGGAACTACTGAACTGGTGTAGGTGTCAGAGACAGATGAAAAATAAAGAGCTCAAGAGTCACAAGAGAGAGTGAGATTTTCCAACCAGGAATGAGGCCCTAGACTGAGTTTTCCCAGTAGACAATAGAAGGTACCCAGCAGGGAGTAAATATCCCCAGCAGAACATGTCTTGGATCCAGGGTGCAGACTGCTTACAAGCTTAGGGTAACATCAACTCTGATCCCTGCAGGAGTTTCCTAGACCCATCCCGGCCCTGGCAACTCCTCGATCTTGGCTGCAGCTTGGCTTCCAGCAGCATGACTGGTGGCACCAACAAGACTAGCTCAAGGTAGGTACTGGATTTGGCAAGGGTGTAAGGGTGGGGAAGAGGAGAGGCCCAAGAGAATGGAACCAAGAACCACTGTCCATTTTTTTCTGGGATATCTTACTGAAGGTTTTATACACTCACATACTTGAGAAGTATGACCATATTTGCTTCAAGAACACTGGGGGAGGTGGAGGAATCTACTGCTCAGAGCTGAATGCTCTGTAAAATAGAGGTGACCTTGTACCCCAGCAGGTGTAGCATGAGGATCATCACAGTCCCTGGACTTACAGTAAGTGCTCAATCAACAATCAATGAAGGTATTGATTGGTTGATTGAATGAAACAATAAAATATTAATTCACTAGGGCAATTTCATATCCCCTAATGCAGGCCAGGCATTACTATGTGGAATTGGAAAAGATGAAGCAAAGTGCTTGCCCCCAGGAGCTCAACAATCAAATAGGGTGAACAAAGGCACATGCAAATAACTTTAAAACAAGATGGAAAGTGATGAAAACTAATGTGGTATAATAAAAAGTATTTGGAATTCAGCGTCAAGGTTTGAATTTGAGACCCAGTCCTCAGATTTATTAGCCATGTAACTAACTATCTGTAGTGATTTGTCCTTACTGAGCCACAGCCCTGGCCACACCCCACTTCAATTATGTCAGAATCTCTGGAGATGAGACTCGATATCTACATGTTTTTATTGAAATACACTTAACATACAAAGTTATATTCATTTCAGGTGCACAACATAGTGATTCCACAATTGTATACATTATGCTGTGCTCACCACGATAAGGGTAGTCACCATCTGTCGCATACAATGTTATTACAGTAGTACTGACTATATCCCCTATCCTGCACTTTTCATCCCCATGACTTATTTCTGTGGAATGGGTAGTTATTGAGCTCTCGTGTCATCCAGCTTGGTGGTACACAGATTTGGATGTAGATACATGTGAGTACCATACCAAGAGAGAGAGACAGAGAGAACTTGATCTTCTGTAATGCAGGGCTTCTGTCCCGAAAATAGTGCTACAAAGGGGTCTACCTTTCAAAATCAGGTTTTGAACATACCTACACTGGTTAATTTTTTTTTAATTTTTTATTGTTATGTTAATCACCATACAGTACATAATTAGTTTTTGATGTAGTGTTCCAATATTCATTGTTTGTGCATAACACCCAGTGCTCCACGCAGAATGTGCCCTCTTTAATACCCATCACGAGGCCAACCCATCCCCCCACCCTCCTCCCCTCTAGAACCCTCAGTTTGTTTTTCAGAGTCCATCGTCTCTCATGGTTCGTCTCCCCCTCCGACTTACTCCCCTTCATTCTTCCCCTCCTGCTATCTTCTTCTTTTTCTTTTTTCTTAACATATGTTGCATTATTTGTTTCAGAAGTACAGATCTGTGATTCAACAGTCTTGCACAATTCACAGCACTCACCATAGCACATACCCTCCCCAATGTCTATCACCCAGCCACCCCGTCCCTCCCACCCCCCCACCACTCCAGCAACCCTCAGTTTGTTTCCTGAGATTAAGAATTCCTCATATCAGTGAGGTCATATGATACATGTCTTTCTCTGATTGACTTATTTCGCTCAGCATAACACCCTCCAGTTCCATCCACGTCATTGCAAATGGCAAGATCTCATTCCTTTTGATGGCTGCATAATATTCCATTGTGTATATATACCACATCTTCTTTATCCAGTCATCTGTCGATGGACATCTTGGCTCTTTCCACAGTTTGGCTATTGTGGACATTGCTGCTATAAACATTGGGCTGCACGTACCCCTTCGGATCCCTACATTTGTATCTTTGTGGTAAATACCCAGTACTGCAATTGCTGGATCATATGGTAGCTTTATTTTCAACGTTTTGAGGAACCTCCATACTGTTTTCCAGAGTGGTTGCACCAGCTTCCATTCCCACCAACAGTGTAGGAGGGTTCCCCTTTCTCCACATCCTCGCCAACATCTGTCATTTCCTGACTTATTAATTTTAGCCATTATAACTGGTGTGAGGTGGTATCTCATTGAGGTTTTGATTTGGATTTCCCTGATGCCAAGCGATGTTGAGCACTTTTTCATGTGTCTGTTGGCCATTTGGATGTCTTCTTTGAAAAATGTCTGTTCATGTCTTCTGCCCATTTCTTGATTGGGTCATTTGTTCTTTGGGTGTTGAGTTTGATAAGTTCTTTATAGATTTTGGATACTAGCCCTTTATCTGATATGTCATTTGCAAATATCTTCTCGCATTCTGTTGGTTGTCTTTTGGTTTTGTTGACTGTTTCTTTTGCTGTTTGGTAGAATTAAATGTTTGGTAGAATTCCCCTGGGAAGCCATCTGGCCCTGGGCTTTTGTTTGTTGGGAGAATTTTGATGACTGCTTCAATTTCCTTAGTGGTTATAAGTCTGTTCAGGTTTTCTATTTCTTCCTGGTTCAATTTTGGTAGTTGATACATCTCTAGGAATGCATCCATTTCTTCCAGGTTATCTAATTTGCTGGCATAGAGTTGCTCATAGTATGTTCTTATAATTGTTTGTATTTCTTTGGTGTTGGTTGTGATCTCTCCTCTTTCATTCATGATTTTGTTGATTTGGGTCATTTCTCTTTTCTGTTGATGAGTCTGGCCAGGGGTTTATCAATCTTGTTAATTCTTTCAAAGAACCAGCTCCTAGTTTCGTTGATCTGTTCTACTGTTCTTTTGGTTTCTATTTCATTGATTTCTGCTCTGATCTTTATTATTTCTCTTCTCCTGCTGGGTTTAGGCTTTCTTTGCTGTTTTTTCTCTAGCTCCTTTAGGTGTAGGGTTAGGTTGTATATTTGAGACCTTTCTTGTTTCTTGAGAAAGGCTTGTATTGCTTTATAATTTCCTCTTAGGACTGCCTTTGCTGTATCCCAAAGATTTTGAACAGTTGTGTTTTCATTTTCATTGATACCAAACTCCCTCTTTTCAGCATCTCTGAGATTCTGGACAAGGTGCAAGAAGATGCAGAGGATGTCCTCTTCAGTCTGGGCTTTGGCCAAGAGGACCACAAGGACACTTCACGGATTCCTGCCCGATTTTTCACCACCCCGTCTCAGGCCAAAGGCATCGATTTCCAGCTCTTCCTGAAGGCCCAGGTGCAGAGGATAGAGATGGAGGACCCTTGCCTCATGCTGGCCAGTGAGTGTTCCCATGGATCTGCTCCACTTCTCTGCCGTTCACAACAGGGATCAGTGGCTCCAGATCCTACTTTCTCTCTGTCAGTTTCACTCCACCCTTTGTCTCCTGTGTGTATTTCCTGGCATGTTGTTTTCAGTGAAAATGGAGAACTTTGATGTATGCTTCTCCCTCTTAAAGAAATAGTCATCAAGAGACCTCATTTCACTATTGCTTTCTTAGGCCTTCTCTCCTTTAGCTGAATCAAATGAGAACAGTGTCTTTAAGTCTTATCCCTGTTCTTATTTCTCAGTTGGAACAATAGAATGTTCCCCATTTACAGCCACTATATTTTTGTTTGTTTTTGTACAGCCACTGTATTAAAATCATTTCCTTTTAGGGCAATGTTCTCAAAGTTCTCAAAGTTAGATATGTTAAATTGTCCAGGGACTTTATAAAAATTCATATTCATAGGCTTTTTTTCCATAGAGGGAAAGGCTCAGGAGTATTTATTTTAAACAAGCACACAGGATTCTTATGTATAATCCTTAGACCACATCCAGGGAAACAATTATTTAAGTTGTCCTGATTTCATACTAAGAAAAGATATGAGAGGATTTCTCTAGCCAGATGAGGCATAAAAGACTCTCTTTGATTCTATACATTAGAATATGTTTCAAATTATATTCTCTATACCCCCAGTATGATTGTATTTCAGATTCTGTGCATCAGATTCAACTTAAGATAAGCTTGATAAACCACGCTCCTGAGCTCTACCTGCTGCAACAAAGATTTTGAGTTGGAATATTTTCACAACATTAGATGATTCTTATGCACACTAAAGTTAGAGTATAATTGATTGATTTTGTTTTAGGTGCCATGAACATAACTAGGTGTTAAATTCTGGAAGAACAGACTAGACATGAGAAACATGATTCTTAAGCCTTTTGGAAGCTTACAGTTTAAGAGATGTATGGCTTATCACAGTGCTTGTCAAACATGGATGTCCATATGAATTACCAAATGGTATTGTTAAAGTGCTTGAGATACAGTCTGAGATTCTACATTTATAACAAGTTCCCAAGCAGTGCCAATGCTTCTGAACTAGTGACCACACTTTGTGAAGAAAGGTCTAATTGAATGATAAAGTCATGAGTGCGAGCCCCACATTGAGCATAGAGTTTACTTAAAAAAAAAATGACATCAAAATTTCTGTACCCTAGTCCATTGGCTAGTAATTGCCATTTTTCCAATTTGTTGATACTCTGAAGCCTTCTAGAACCCTAAAGTTTTGTTACTGTCTAAGAAAATGAGGTTGGTTTTGTCCTTTTTTCTGTCATGTTTGTCATCTAAAGCAAACAGTAATCGAAGCCATTGTTTAGAATATACTGACAGCAGAAAGGATATGTGAAATCAAGACATAGAAAAGTTCCTCATCCCATATAGAATTAATTTTTGGGCTGAAGGAAAATATCTATTTGGGATGGGAGTCAAGAAGTGAAGAAAGTCAAGAAAGGGGATCCTGGGTGTGAGAAATCTAACTGGGAGAAACACTGGTGGGGAAAATGGCATCTTCCTTCTGAATTTTGAGCCTTAGGAAGGCTATTGAAGGAAGAGAATCAAGAGATAATTTGCTGATGACCCCCAGATTCACCATCTTCAACCCTTGTGCCCAGGCAGGTTTAAGCAGGTGCAAACACTGGCTGTCACTGCCGATGCCTTCTTCTGTCTCTACTCCTATGTGTCTAAGACACCTGTCCAAAAGTTCACACCCTCCCACATGTTCTGGAATTACAACCCAACTGATGTGCCATCCATCAGGATTCTGGCTCCAGAACCTGAACCTCACTCACCCAGAGAGCGCCTCCGGAAAGCCATCTCCAAGATGTGCCTGTATACAAGCCCCAGAGATCGGCTGTCACCACCCTATAATATCCCCAAAAGGAACAGTTTGGACCAAGTGGTGTGGGAAGTGATGGACAGAGTGAGAGGAGAGAAGCTGGTCTTCCAGCAAGACCCTGGGTTTGGGCCAGGCTCAGAGGAAGATCCTGTGCCACTCATCAGGGATGCAAAGCTGCCCACTTCTTCTGGTCCATGTGCCCTTTGCCCCAAAGAGGAAACACAGCAGGGGTTGTCCCCAGTGCAAGCACCATCACAAACTCTGGATCCTAAACCAGAGGCAACCTGTTGCATGCATTCTCTGCCTGGAGCAGGTCTGCAGTGGAGCACAGACCCTGCACCTGTGAAGAGAGAGCTGTGGGGTCTACAAGCCACCAATAAGGAAGTCCATTTGGCCAAGGATGAGACTTTCTGGAAAAGAAAGAGCAGAGCAAGAAAGAGCTTGTTTCAGAGGAATCCCATGAGCAGGACGGTTAAGTCATTGGAACTGTCCATCATCCAGCAGAGCCAAGAGCAACCAGCACTGCACCAATCTCTAACCCAGCAGCTGCAGGACACTTGTGACTTGGAGGAGGTGAAAGGGTTGGGGGCAAGAGAGAGGCTGGCAGAGAAAGGTTCTGGATTCTTGCCTTTCAGAAAAGAGAATCCAGGCTCTCTTTCCTCACCAGATATACCAATTCTTGAATTACATTCAGAAACCTTTGGGAATAGGTTAATAGAGAAGGAGAAACATAAATGGGCTTGATTTCTTAAGATCATCCAGGTTTTCAGAGCTTTTCTAATTCCTTATCTGATCTGATTTTCATTGAAGTTCCTCATCAAGCACACCTTGCTCTATTATTTGTGGGATCCGCAACAGAGTACAAATAGAGGTTGGTTATACACTAAGCTAAACACTATTAAATAAAATATGCTCTCTTCTACCTTAATAAATATATAACCATAAAGACCTGGAAGTCCAGGTTCAAAGTTAATAAACTCAGATTCTTAGGACTTCTGTGCTAGAACATGGCAGTGTAGGCAGAGCCACTCCCCAGCTCTGGCCTAGCCCCTTCTTTTCCCATGCCCAGATCTGTCCCAAACCATTAGGGACTTTGCACATAGATGTGTGAGCACCCAGCCTGCATATCCAAAAGCCACACACCCTCTACCCACACAAATAGCCACCTACTGGTCATCACTCGTGCCTGGGGCTGCATACAGTAGTAGAGAGGTTGACCCTTTAAGACAACAGACACCAGGCAAAACCAGGGCAATTCCCTGAGACAGACTTGGGGGGCATCTGAACAGCATATTCGGGTGTCCTATGTAACCAGAGCATGTTCTAGACGGAGTAGTGCAGGATCCAGGTGGGCATGTCCTGTCGGTCCACCAACTCTTCATCCTGTGCACTCTCAAGAACTCAAGACTCCTCTTGCCTGGAACTAGTGACAATACTACCATCAAGTGCTGAGCTCTCTTGGGAAAACTCTCAGATCCTTGCCACAAGAGAACCTGTGATGATTTGCAATATTGTTTGCATATATGTCACCTCTCATTGGACATAGACCTGCACCTCAACTCCTGCCTTCCTCACTACCACATTCCTGCCACAAGAGAAGAAGCCGAGTCTCTCAAGTACACTCAGCCTCTTTCCCCTATGGCTACCTGCCATCCAACACCTCTCTGCACTGGCTCTGAGTTCTCCTGGGATCTTGGTTACAGGTGCAAAGCCAGAGTGAGGAGGAAGAGAGCGGCTGGCCCAACAGTCCCAGACACCCCCACCTATATCAGACTTTTGCTGGCAAAGACTGGAGAAGTAAGTGGGTCTCTCTCTCTCCTTTCTTTCTCTCTCCCTCCTGCCCTCCCTCAGGCAGTGAGTCTCAAACCTGGCTACATGTTATAATTACCCAGGAAGATTTTTTTTTAAATATCCACAACAAAGGGTCCCACATTCTGTGATTCTGATTTCATTGATATGGCATGGAAATCAGTGCCTGATTTTTTTTGTTTTTAAGCTCCTCAGATGATTCTATTATGGCTGATTAGATACTTCTCTAGATCAGTGGTTCTCAGACTTTAGCCTCACCTGGAGGGCTTGCTAAAATGCAAATGTCTGGGCCCCAAATCCCAGAGTTTCTGATTGAGAAGCTCTGGGCAGGGCCCAAGAAGCTGCATTTCTAACAGATTCCCAGGTGATGCTGATGCTGCTGGTCTGGCAACCATCTGAGAACTGTTCTAGGGTTCTAGAAATGTATAACCTTACTATTCAAACTGTAGTCTGCAGGCCAGCAGCATTAGCATTACTTGGGATTTTGTTAGGAATGTGGAATCTCAGACCCCACCTCATATTTAAGGTATCACAATTTTATCAAGATCCTAAGATGATTTGTTTGCATGTTGAAGTTTGAGAAGTGCACTGCTATAGTTGTTTTAACAGATGAGAACCAACCATAAAGAGCTTCATCCCGGCTCCTCCTCATAACTACATTCTAATCCGCCAACATCACCACATGGGGAAGACTCCAAGTATCTCACAGCCATGCTCCCTTAGGCTCTGAGTTCCTTCTTGCAGTGAGGACCTGACATCCATAGCTCTCCTTCCCTGACAAGGGAACTCACATAGATGGTTACTGCAGCTAAAATGTCTTTCCTTTCGATATGAGTTTTGAGCATTAACTGTATCAGAGGTATCCCTTATACCTTTGAATGTTTTGGCTAAAGATTTGTTATTTAAACTAAGTATAAATGAGGCTCCTATAGTTTTTACCACCTATCCCCTAGTACCACAGAGAAGATGGCATCAGGAATAAATAAATAAATAAATAAATAAATAAATAAATAAATAAATAACAAATATTCTAAGATAGTAGAAATTGATATCCTTCTTGAATCAAGTCAATGAGTCTTGCTTAGAGTTCCCTCTGTTTTGAATGTCTTAGTTTATTGCACTTCCTGGCCCAATAGTTATTTTGGGTCAATACTCTAAATTTGCAGTGTTAATTGTCCAGCATCACAAAATCTTTACACTTCTAGCTCTTTTAATTTTAATTCTCTGTGATTTTAGGGCCCTAGTCACTCTTCTTTCTCTCTTGCTCATTACTTTCATCTCCAGGGATATAAATTATGTGTATACAGTAGTCACTCACAAAAGAGGTAAATATCAGAAGGCAGCAATATAATATATTGAATATATATATATATAGATTTGGGAAAAGTTTAGGATATGGAGTCAAATGACCAACACTATACTAATTCTGTGATTTTGCAAAATTCACTTGACTTTAATTTTATCCTACGTAATAGGAGATGTAGAGTTTCAACACCTTACAGGGAGTGTGTGAAGGTAATATAATATATTAGAATAATAATGGATGTTGCTGCAGCTGCTGCTGATTTTTAAAAAGGTAATCATGGGCATAAAATATTTAGATCAGTGATTCTCAATCCTACAAGATTTCTTTGAATTGCTCTTTTCTGGACTCCACTTAATAGACTTAAATACAAATCTCTAAGGTTTGGACTTGGGCATCATTGTTTCTTCTCTTAAAACTTTCCTATTGCTGCATAACAAACCACCCAAAATGCAGTGGTATAAAGAAAACCTTGTTTCTTTTTTGTCACTATTTTGTGGGTTTACTGGAAGGTTCCTCTGCTTGTCTTACCTGGGTTCCCTTAAACAGCTGGTTTTGGCTATTTGGCTGGCCTGGACTGAAAGGTCAACAGTGGACTCCCCCGCATGTCTGGAACATTGGTGATGAGCGGCAGGGGGCGCCCTCTCCATGTGTTGTGTCATTCCTTGGCAGCCTGGCTTGTCTTATGTGGATGTTCAGCAAAAACTGAAATTGCAATGCTTCCTTTCACAGATGTGTGGCAAGTTTCATAATGTCCCCCCTACCACATTACTGGTTAAATCAAGTCACAAGGCCAACCGAGATTCAAAGGGAAGGAAAACAGACTATGTTTTAACAGAGTGGCAAGGTCACAGTGCAAAAAGCCATGTTGAATGGAAGGGTTGTTGTGCCATCTTTATAAACAGTCCATCACATTGACTCCGGTGCACCATGAGGGTGAAGAATAACTGCTTTAATCAAAGGACTTTACCCTCACATATTAAAGATGCACTGAGGGTAAGCTTTCATGCTACAGCTCATTCAGACTCAGCCACAGTGTCTGAATTTGAAAAGGAAATTAACTGGTAGGCTTATCAAATTAAAATAGAAAATGTGGAATATGTCCCTACAGCTAGGTTTCTTTGCCAATAACTTAATTTACTCTAAAATGCTAAGCTTTGCTCAAGTGTTATTTGTCCAGCAGATGTCAGCCTCGCACAAGAATATGCCAAGATATCCACCAAGGCAGGCTGGGCGCAGGACCTATCAGGTTATACTTTTCGGGGCAATACCTGCAATATCCAGGACACCAGTTCCCCTCACACATCTGCCCCACCTTTGGCCAACTGTCAGTGTACAGAAATATTAGAACTGAATTGCCAGGGAGAAAGTATTGCTAGGAGCTATATATTTCAGATAAGGAACTAGATTCCATTTTCTGCCAGGGTTATGGTATCTCAGCACAGCACAAGAGATTGTGGTTAGAGATGGATCACTACATCAAAAATTAATGATGTATTGTATGGTGACTAACATAACATAATAAAATTAAATTTAAAAAAAGAAATGCTGTATCTCACTTATTCTAAGGCATGAATTTTTCCACATTTTAATATCTCTGAGATAGAAAATGTCTTAACATTGGCAATGTCAGCCAAGGTCTCTAATTTTTTTCCTCCTTAGTGAAATATAAAATAATTGAGTCTTGCAAAAGATGACTTATCAGATTCAATGAAACAGTAACTTTAAGAAATTAAATGAACTTATTCTCTCAGGTAAATGAGGAAATGATTTCACAGATTTCCCTTCTGTGATTCCCTAGAAGACTAAGAGATCTCTTCTTCACTGACATGGTCTTTGGCTGAGATGGGGTCACAGTGGTTCCCAAATCTTTCAGATGTTCCATACATTAGTTTAATCATCTTTTCACAAAGCTATGAATTATCTCTCTCAATCTACTCCTCTATCACCCTTTAAGAGATCACAAGAAAGGGGGAATACTTATGAAAGCCCCTCAGGACCACCAAGATTAAAAGTTATGTGATAGGGCACCTGTGTGGCTCACTCATTAAGCATCTGCTTTTGGCTCAGGTCGTGATCCCAGAGTCCTGGGATCGAGCCCCGCATTGGGCTCCCTGCTCCGTGTGAAGCCTGCTTCTCCCTCTCCCTCTCCCACTCCCCCTGCTTGTGTTCCCTCTCTCTCTGTCTCTCTCTGTCAAATAAATAAATAAAATCTTAAAAAAATAGAAGTTATGTGATAAATATGGAAGGGGGAAATTCACTCACTACCATCAAAGGCAGAGCAAGCTGGGGCAGTTCCTCAGATCGACTGAGAAACAAGTCCTCTCTGCCTCCTCCAGGGTCTATAATTATCTCCCAGGGATTAACGACCTCCCAGGAGCTCTGTAGCAAGTCCCAGTCTTCACCGACGACTTGTCACCAGGCATGAGAGCGATGTGAGCAAGAGTAGGAAGGGGTAACAGCACCCAACCAGCCATAGGGTCCAGTTGTGTAGTCCTCGCATTGCACAAAGACTCTCAAAGAGACAAAGGGGGTTGAAATTCAGCTATGCTGTGCCTACCATCCAAAATCTCAAGGGTCTTCATCTTCTAAGAGGGAGTTCCTTTTTTTTTTTTTCTAACTCATCTGCATAAGGTGAGTGCCTTTCTGTGGTTAACACAAGGGAACCTTCTCTTAAAAGAGGATCTTGTCCCCAGCTATCAGCTTTCTTCCCTTCCACTCTCTCATTTAGTCTCGGCAGGAGAAGTCTTAATCTTCCTCCCAGATCTTAGGAAAGGAAGACGCTCATCATTCCTCATAGTTTGCACCATATTCAAAAATGTCAGATGCACAGCCCTTTCTCTTAGTGCCCCATTGCTGAAATTTAAGCTGTTTGACCTTTATCAAGTTTATAAGAGGCAGGGCCAAGGTTTTATTTTTTGTTACTGTTTGTTTACTTTACCAGATCTGAGGTAGCACAGGCTAATTTATATTCTATTTGCAAAGTGATCATATCTAGAGACAGGAGTTGCATTTTCTGGGCAATTCTGCTGGTGGCAGTGGGAGGAGACAGGCAGGATTAGGCAGGGAGGCCTGTGCAGAGCATAGGATAAAGAAGGAAACTAGTCTTAGATGATCCCAAATGGCAGGTAATCCAAAGCTGTCTGTTGGTACTTAGTGGAACCTATATGAGCCAGGTAGCTACAGACTTGCTCTTTGCTGTAGGATTTTCCCATGTGACAATATTAACCACAAATGTTTCTATATAGTGCTTACTACATGTCAGGCATAAGCCTTAGCACTATGTGGAAATTAAATCATTTAATCAATGATATAACTTTTTTATTGTTCCTCATTTTATAGATGATCACACTGGGCACTGTTATTTTTATACCAAAATAAGTTCTGAAGAGAGACTACTGGATATGAGGTAGAGGGAGAGATGGGGAAAGGGAGAGGAGAAGGCAAGAGGATATCATGAGAATGTGACGATTATTTTTCTGCCTCATTCGCAATTCTTACCAAGTTATTTTGCATCTATTGGGGAAATATCATTAAAAACAAAATCTTCTGGAGTGCCTGGGTGGCTCAGTTGGTTAAGCATCTGATTTGATCTCAGCTTAGGTCTCGATCTCTGGGTCATGAATTCAAGCCCTGCACTGGGCTCTGTGCTGGGTGTGGAACCTACTTAAAAAAAAAAGTTACAAAAACAAAATCTTCCACCACCGCAGAAAACCTCTCCAGAAAGGTATAAGAAAAAGAAAACGGTTTTATTTTTTAATATGATGTGTGTCAGGGGTCATCCACTAAAGAGATTACAGAGACAGAAAGAAATCCCTCTTCCATAAGCAGACAGATAAAACCCCTTACATACATACAATAACTAGTCCTCAAGGAAGATGACTTGGCAGGAACATTTGTCGCACACAGTCCATTCTAGATGCACCTTGGAACTGGGGTGGCCAACCATGTTAGCTAATTGCCTTTATCCAAAGGAATAATAAAACTTCTCATATCTTTATGGCAGAGGTGGTTTTGCCAGTGAGAGCTAGGCACCTAAGTTAGACTCCTACCCTCTCATGGAGACTGAGAGATAGGGGGCACAAGGCTCTTTGATGATTACATTTCAAAGCAATGGCTTCCATAATCCTTGAGAAAGACATGACAAGGAAAATCAACAGTTACTTTTGTTGAATTTCATTAAATGCCACAGGGACATGGAAAAATGAACTTCCCAGAGGATGACATGTCCAGATGAATCTGGACACATGAGGAAAGGTCAAAGAGGGGAAGAATAGTGGGGGGAAGTAGAAGAAGAAGCAATAGGACACTGATAGACTAGATAGAGGGATAAACATTTTCAAAGGCAGAAAGAAATGGAATATCATAATATCTTCAGAAACTACACCTTGTACCACTTGGGAGAAAGGGGATATGTGGGAGATCAAAATTAAGAATAGGAAAGATAAATAGAAATTAGATATGAAACAAAAGTCATAAATGTTATTTTAAGTGTTTTGATTTAGTCTAAAAAGATAAGGAGCCACTTAAAAATTTACAAAAGAAGTTATATGATTAGATTTATCTTTCAGAAAGATCATTCTGGCAGAAATATGGGAGATGGATAGAATAAGGAGCCAATGGAGAAAGGAAAATCATTTAAAATCCTACCACAAAAGACTGAGAGGAAATGTGACAACCAGAAATAAGACGAGCATACTAGGAATGGAGGGGACGAGTGGCACTTTGAGATATTTAATATGCCCAGTGGCTAAACCAAGGACCAATCATACTTGTGTTTGGGGAGAAGAGGGAGGAAAAAAAAAAAAACACAGAAATTTCCGGGTTTCTTCTTGAGTGACTAAGTGAATATTAATGTCTTTTTATTAAGAACAAAATACAGTAGAAGTAGCAAGTTGGAAGGCAAATATTTTAAAGTATAATTTTCAAAAAGGCAAAATAATGACTCTCATGTTAATATAAAACAAACATGTTCAAAGATTTTATTCAACTCATCAATTAATAAGAATTCCAGTAATGGGTTTGAACTGGTCCAAAGAGTATTTGAGAAGCTAGTTATAAACAGACAACCTGAGTTAGCCACAAAACTAGTTACCAAGCAGCGACACCACAGGCTCTCATCTCTGAAAATATTGGTTACATCAGAAATAAAGTGCTTGCATCTCTACTCAACATAAATTTATGAAGTAACTTCTGATTCTTTCCCAGAGTAGGGTAGTAAAATAGCCCTGGAAAGAGAAACTCAAGAACATCCAGTAATCTTATGATTACTGAAAGAACATCCAATAATCTTGTTTGTCTGTTTTCAAGTCTAGAATAATTTGATGAGTTAAGATTTAGATACAATGAGTTTGAGGTAGTTCTGAAATATTAAAATAGAGAAAGAAGTCCATAAGGCAGCTGGATATATGAACTTGAGGATACAGTTTATTGGAATTCAAGGCTTACTTATAATAGGTGAAGGCATGAGAAATAATAGTTCACCTAGGGAAAGTATGCAGAGTCAAAAGTTGAAGTGTAAAGGGAACCCTTAGAAATATTAATATTTAAAAATCAATCAAACACAAGATGTTCATAAAGGAGTAGCCATATGGATTGGAAAAAGAAAGTTTCAGATAGAAGCCAAGTGAGATATGTTTCAAGAAGGAAGGTGTAGTCTTCAGTAACATATGTCATAAAATATCCAGAAGGAAGGAGAATGCGAAGATACCACTGGATTTGTAACTACACAATGATTAGAAACATTGATAAGAGAATTTTTATTTGTATGACAGGGCTTTAAAATATCAATGTGTGGCTCCGTAGCTCAGAGGTTAGAGCACTGGTCTCGTAAAATATCAATGTGAAAAGTGAATAGGAAATTGTGCAAATGAAGTAGATAAGGGAGTCAAGAGACTCTAAGGAGTGTTCTGGGTTTTTTAGGATGGGGAAGGTTTAAGCGTATATATTTGCTGAAGGGAAAGAATCAATAGGGTGGGGGAGGCCATGGTTCAGGAAGGAAAAGAGAATGATATATGAAGTCACTGGAAAACTGGAACAAGTTAAGATCCAAACCACTTTTGAAAACTTAATTTAAAAGTAAAAACCACGTGTTTTTAGAGGGTTTAGCCATGAGCTAGAGGTACAGATCTTTGGCTGAAATTAGAGGAAAGGAAAAAGGACAAGCGCAAGTACAGTTACATTGGTCACCCGGAGAAGAAGTGAAGAAATTTCTGCCTATTGGTTTCTCTCCTTTTCCTAAAGAAAGGGTCATCCCTAAACAGTGTGAGGCAGGAAATTTGAAGACAGTAGTAAAGGTTAGAGATTGTGACTATGAAAAATAAATGAGAAATGTTTATTAGTAGAAGCACATATTAATAGTTGAATAGG